GAACAGACACCGCCACAGCAGCAGTAGCTTCTACTCTGCTATCTCAGTGGACACAAACATGCTTCAGATTTGGCCCTTATCTCAGAAGAGGAGGCACATTATCATGCACTCTGACTCTCCAGCCATCTTGCCTAGAGTCTAAGCTTAGCAACACCAAATCCTAGTACTGGTGCCACAGACAAGTCACTTCACCTCCTCGTGACTCAGTTTCCTCCTATGCAAAATAGGGAAACATAATAGTACCTTCTTTGTTATTTATATGTTCAGAAAGCTTCCAACATATCAACACATTTAATCCCCATGGAAAGTACCATTATTTTTTTAAAAAAAATTTCCCTAGTGTCCAATTTGATCATGGAATCCTAGAAAAACAGGGGCTGTCTTAACCTGTGTCTCTATCCCCAGCACACAGTAGGTACTCAGGACATTCTTGTTTGATGACTTGGCTTATTACTCTGCCAGTTGTTCATTTGTTCATTGAATTTGCTGTTGGGGCAGCAGAATTATTTCAGTCTGCTTGTATCCCCCAAGGCCAATCTCTATGTCTAGACAGGCTTATAAATAACATGGATCTAGGCGACTTGGCTAGAGGACTGGGTTCCTCTCAGTCTGCCTTCCTTATCACTAACACCCTGTTCTCTGCCTCTCAGAGGCCTGTTAATATGGGGGTGTTTCTTGTTCTATTTTATCCAATGGGACTTTGTAATCCAAACACGCTTGCCCCGAGGCTGGAGATGTGTCTTTTTCCCATCGTGAACAGCTGGTCTCTGTGACATTCAGAACGGGAGGCTAGACCAGGACTTTGGGATTTTTTTTTTTCCACAGTGGAATAGAAGAGGAGAAAAAACCTTTAGAGATATAAGAGGCCACAAAGCATCAAGAGGCTTCGCATAGATCAGACTTAGCCATTTGGGACTCAAATGGTTTCTACCAACAATTTTGGTTGCTCAGGACTTTTCTGGAGGAATGGCTCAACTCATAAGCACTTCAGCTAACGATGCCAACGGAGTATGGACAACAAAGACGACTCAGTAAGCAGAGGCCTACAGGACATGAACAAGTAGGGCTCAGACTGAGAGAAAGAGGTACAATTCAGTAAAGAAATAGAAGGGCAGGTATCTGGAATTTTCTGCCTACCCGTGTTTCTACAGAGATGCTTAGGATAGCTCTTAGGCATACGTGGCTATTCCTGAGGACAGCAGAGTGGCAGCTAAGAGAGTTTGACATAACTCTTGTGCCCTTCAACCTAGACCATTGTCTGGTGGTGTCCATACCCACAATGCTCAGGGAAGGCCTGAAGTGGACCAGCCATATTGAATAGAAACAGGAGGACCTTCCATATCAGAGCCTCCCCTTGAAGGACTTGGAGACTTAATGGTCTGAGTTCTCAGCGTTTTGATTCTCCTTTTGGGAAGAAACTTCTTTTCTTCGGGTCTCCTAGAACTAAGCACAAGACTATAACTTTATTTTTTTTTATTTTTCCAACTCTATTCTAAACCTACCTTTTCACTGATATTTTTTTTTCAGAACTACTTGTCTCTTCACTTTGTTCCTTTCCCCTCCTCTCCCACTTTCTAGGGTTCCCCACTCTGCTTTCTTTTGTAACTCATTGTGCCTTCGGCACAGTACTGGTCAGATAGAGAGGCGACTGGCAGCTGCCCTGCCATATCCCACCACCCTGGGTGACAGCTAATGCTGGGAACTGCACCACCTGGATCAATCCTGGGGCTTTGGTTGCTTCAGGTGAAAAGCCTGACCACCTCAGAAGCGGGTGATACACCAAAGCCACCAGCACAATCATGTTCATTGCAGCATTGTGTACCATAGCCAAGATATGAAAGCAACTCAGATGCTGCTCAGTGGACAAACAGGTCAAGACAATGTGGCATACATACACAATGGAATTCTACACTTCCATCAGAAAGACTGGTATTGTACCATCTGTAAGGAAATGAAAAGCCTTGGGAAAATTATATGAAGTGAAGTAAGCCAGACCCAAAGAAATATAGGTTGCATGGTTTCCCTATTTTGTGATAACTAAATGTGCCTATAAGTCTATAAGGAAAAGACCAAAGGAGGATATTCTTAGGAGAGGAGCACAAAGGTGCAACAGCGATGTGCATCTGATCACATAAAACAATATTTATTGAAATGAACTCCAGGAAATAGAAACAAGAGGTTTTTTTTCTTTTGTTGCTGTTTTTGTTATCTTTTTGTCTTGTTTGTTCATTTATCTGTCTCTGGGAGGGTCAGGAGGGGCAAAAGGTGAACAAATACAGCAATGATACTCACTAGACACTGTGTTGAAAATGAAGTATACAACTTGTGGGTGGGGATGGGAGAGAAAAACTGGGAGAAAGGAAGGGAAAGGATGACATTATTCAAAAAGAAATGCACTCTTTATCTCACTTATGTAACTGTACCCCCTCTATTTATCACCTTTACAATAACAATAAACATTCAAAAAAAGAAAAAAAAAAAGAAAGCTGGCAATCCTTTGCCAAGTAAGGAACCTAGTTTCTGAGTTGCTGGACTATGAGTATGTTACAGTTGCCTTGAATATCATTTGTTCATCCATTCAATGCTTACACAAGACAATGATGCACCTGGATACTGGACAGACTGAGATGTAAACAAGATCTACTTCTAACTCAGAGCTCACAAGCTGGTGAGCATTCTGCTGCTTTTGTAATGGACTACAGTGAAAACTATTATATTAACTACATGAAAAAGACTTGGATGGGTGGAGGAAGAATAGATCCAGGGTCCACCATTGTTTTTCAAAGTTGACTTCATCTTGAGTGATCGTCATGATATAAAAAATACTCCACATTGCTGATGCCAGGTAATTTTGACTCTGTCTGAAAAACAGTCCATTTCCTTATTCCCCAGGGCAAAAATAACAAAACAACATTAATCATTAGTTTCTTTCTACTGAGGTGACCATGAAGATGTCTCTGACTCTTGGTGGCTTCTAATAGCCATCTTTTGACCACTGCTTATGAAAGGGGAGACTCAGCATTCAGTCTTCCAAAATGCTATTTTGTAGACTGGTGGCTACTCACTGAGACTTGAGGACTGCAGTTTGAAGCCAGGCCAGGTAGACAAATCTAAGAGACTCCAGCAAAAAGCTGGAGGTATGGCTCAAGTGGTAGAGCAAAAACTATCAATGAAAAAGCCAAATGAGGGCATAAGTTCCTGAGTTCAAGCACACACATGCACACACACACAGCGAAAAAAAATATGGAAAGCAACTTTGCATGAATGTGTTTTTGAAAGAGGCAGATTTATAGAGAGAGAAAGGTGAATAGACAAAAGTAATAGGCTTGGAGTTGGAAGACTACATGTCTAGTCCCAATTATTTAACAATTGAATGAATGTGTCTGGCCTTAGATTTCCCATCTTTACAGTGGGAGTATAACAATATTTCACTGATGGTGTCATGGTGGGAAGGAGGTGAGACAACAAATATAAAATGCTTTAGAACACAGGCACATCTGTGGTAAGGATGGTAATGAAATCAGACGGAGACAGCAAAGAACAAGCTGTGTGACTTCGGGAAAATTATCCACTGCCCACAGCTTCCTCACCTGCAAAAGGAACGAGTTTCACAGGGTCATTTGGAATTCTGTTCAGTAACATTCCATAAGCATCTTCCCTGTTGGTGCCACCCTGGCTGTTCAGAGAGGATCATGGGACAGACACACATGTAGATGACCCTAGCAGAAGACAGGGTACCCTTCTTAAGAGCTACATTCAGGACTCTTGAGTACTCAGGGCTGGGAGTCTTGGGAGCCTGGTAGGGTGGTAGAGTTCACCTAGGTGGAGATAACTTTTTGTTCCTTTGCTGATAAACACATGGTCCTGAGGATAAAGGCCAAACTAAGCATCCTGGGTTCTTTGCAACTTGGTCCCAGCTCCTTTTCGCTGTGTCTCCACCATTTCTCCCTTGATTTGTGCTACTTACACTTCCTAAAAACTCCCCAGTACCTTGTCCTTGTCTTCTGCCCATCTTTGCAACACACCTCTGGTTTTCAGCTGGAATTGCTCCCTCCCCAGTTAGGGGGCGGCAGTGAACACAAGCCAGGCCCTAAGGCCAGATGGGGAGGCAAGAGAGAGGGGATTCACTTGTTAGCTTTGTCATTCAGCAGCCCTGAGGTCACTCAGTCCCTTCGAGAGCCAGTCTGTAAAATCCCCAGGATGATCGTGGTGCCTACCTCTGAGCAGTGGTGGAGAGTACAGACTGACAGAATGCTGTCAGCTGGGCGGGCAGTGATCACTGAATAAGCGGCAGTTGTGATGGACACTCTTAAGTCTGGTTTTGACTTAGTCGCTTCCTCTAGGAGCCTTTCCCTAGCAGGTGGACTCCAACTGTACGCAGTGTCTCCTTTTCTACCTTGGCACCTGTCCGCTTTCTGCAGACCCCACCGGGCCAGGAGTCGGCGTCGTTTGCTACAAAGGACATGTGACAGGCACTTAGGACATGATGAATGAACGACATGGGGTGAGGGTCCCAGTGACGCCGGTGCGTGGCAGAAATCTGCAGGCCACAACCTGAGGTGGGGTGAGGGGTAGGGGAGGGCGGCATGGTCAGCAACTGGACTGAGGTAGGTGGACCTCAACTCTAAACTCTGTATGAGAGGGAGAGAAAGAGAGGGGAGTGTGTGTGGGGGGGAACAGTGAGCTTGGTGTCCAGGGCTGCTTCCTCGCGGGGACTGACCTGGGAGGGTCCAGTGCCAAGGGAGAGGATGGCACTCAACTTTGGCCAGGTCTGTGCCCCGGGCTGGAAAATGCAGCAGGACAAGTCGGACCAGCATTCAGGCCCCGCCCCACAACCCCGCCCCCAGCCCGGCCCCGCCCCCAGGCCCCGCCCCACAAGCCCACCCCCAGGCCCAGGCCACGCCCCACAACCCCGCCCCCAGCCCCGGCCACGCCCCACAACCCCCGCCTCCAGGCCCCGGCCACGCCCCCCCAGCCCCAGCCCCGAGCTCCAACAAGAGCCGAAGCTGGATCCGCAAGTGGCCCCCGCCACCCCCGCGCACGACGCGCCCGGCTCGCTTTTTCTGCCCGGGAGGAGCGCAGGTGCCCAGCCCACGATCGACAGCAGCCGCTGTGAGATGCTGCGCTCCACGTCCACGGTTACCCTGCTCTCGGGTGGTAATACCAGACCGCCCGGGGCGCCCAGCAGGAGGGTAAGTCTCTGGGCTCTCTCTTTCCATCCTGGCTGCTCCCCCCTCCCCACCTCTGCAGGGATCTGGGGGTGAGGACCTAAGGGAGCCAGACTCTGGTCCCCCACCCCCAATCCTGGGCTCAACTTTCCCATCCTGTCCTAGCCAGAGCTTTTGGCAGGAAGAGAAGGCTTAGGGGACTTTCTGGAATTCCCTGAGTCTTCCTTCCCTTTGCGGGTCCTCTGCCCAGCTCGGCTTATTGGTGACACTGATTAAGGGGGGCATTCCTGCAGTCTCCACCCTGAGACCCACAAGTAATGAGGGTATGGAAAACCCAGACTTTACTCCTTCATTGATTAGAGGAAGTGAAGGCGTCTCGGTGTCCACTGGTGGTAGATCATACTGGAGTGGGGTTTGTCAAGCTGGGCACCTGTTTGCAAACCAGAGGTTGGCAGCTGGCCACCCAGGAGCCCAGTTCTGGGGGACTTACACTTTATGCAAGCCACTGTCTTCTTTCTGATTTAAATACCAGCATCATGGCAACAGGGGTGTTCTTCAAAGCCCTGGGTATCCACTTCCAGGGGTTCCCCCTAAAGTTTCTCTCTTCCATTTTTCTGTTGCCTCTTTTCCAACTTCTTTAGATGTTTGGTGAAAATTGTTAGGTATGCCCTCCAAGATCAGGGGCCCAGAGCACATGGAAGTGGCTGGCTTTTTAGGTCTTCCTTTATCAGGAGATTCAATAGTTATCATTTGGCACGCCTCTGACGTGACTGAGACATCTGTGATCACATTTCCCCAAGGTTTAGCCAAACAGGTGGTTAGGTCCAAATCAGAAGCTCCTTTGGTACTGTGGGATGTGTCCGGGTACTGTTGGGTGTGTTTGCCAGTCTTGTAGATATACTCACTGTCACAGACCTCAACCAAAGGAGGGTGGTTGTCTTATGGGCTATCTTTACTAGGACAAAAGGTGTATGTTATTTTTGGATGTGGGCCAAGTGATGGGTTCTGTGTGTGTGTGTGTGTTGTGTAACACCAGCCACTTAAAAGTTGACAGGCTCTGGTTGTCCAATCATTAACTTTATAAAGATCTACATTCAGTCCAAGTAGCTTTCCAACCTCAGACTTAGCCTTATCCAAGATGGGCATTTGACCATATCTTCCCTGCTCCCCTAACACACATACACTGGGGAAGATCTTTGTTGACTGAAACAAAATTTTGATTGAAAAAAAATAAAGTTGCTGAAAAGATAGTCTTGAGCTGGGAAACAGTTTTCCCCCAGAGGTGGGGTCCGTTAGGGTAGTTAGTGTGATATTGTGAGTGGATACAAATGTGACCAGGAAACTCAACAACATGTTTTGGGGATTTTTTCCCCTTGAATATTTGTGTTTGAGGAAGTCTTAAGTACACGTACTTGACCCATGAGACTGTGAAGAATGGATTGCCTGTTGGATAAGACTATATAAACACTTTGGGTGGGCTGGAGGACTCAGGTCTTCCCCGGCTATACAAGGCTGTCCTGGGCATTTTAGTACTTGTTTTGAAAAGAAGATAGCTGGAAATTCTAGAGTTTTCCCTATCTTTATAGTTTCCAGCTCTGCTTGTGATTTTCAAATGTTGTAGGTAGTGTGTGTATGTGTGTGTGTGCGCGCACGCGCACGCGTGCATGCACGCGTATTGGGGGATGGAAAGCTGTAGTTATATTTCCGCCTTATCTGAAATCATCTCTCAAGAGTAAAGCACAAAACAAAAAAGGCAGGGGACCAATTCCTGATGGTCAATAAACAAAACTCCACTGACTGATCAGCTGACTCAGTGAACATTTATAGACCTTCCACACAGTTCAGGGCTGGGCACTGGAACCCACTGCACCCATCAAGGTAGAAATCACAAACTAGCCTAACACAAATCCGTCCCTATCAGAGTGAAAGTCCTATGAAGCTAAAGGGAAGGTTCTGTCTGAGGTATCTGAAGGCCTCCCACTGTAGGTAATGTGTACTTCATCTTGTACCATCAGTAGACATTTGCAGGGCAACTAACATGAATGATACTGGCCGGAGAAAACTATCATTTATCTAAGTAGGAATGATGACAGATACAATATGACACAACATATTGGACTTGCTTTGGGACAAAGCACTTATTTTTAAAAAAAAAGTTTAGAAAAACAAGAATAGGCTATCTTGAAAATAAACTTGTAAGAGCCAACAGATGATCTTGAAAAAATGTTCTCAAAGTTGGAAAGCTTCCAATATGATGTATCATTCTCTCATTTCTCCCTGGTGGGGGTTGGATGAAGGTCTTGAACAGCAACACACTAACCATCAAAGGAAACCTTCCATTCCATCCAGATGGTGTATTAGAGGCTGTGGGGGAGAGCCAGGCTCTGTTGGAACAGACAGTTAAGCCAACCAGGACTGGTGGTGACAGGTGACACTGAACAGGGACTTCTATGAATCAACTGCAAAGGGCAGTATGGCTGACCAGGATGTCCCCAGTTACCACTCACTCAATGGATGCAGTTATACTTCCGCCTTATCTGAAATCATCTCTCAAGAGCAAAGCACAAAACAAAACAGGCAGGAGAGAAATTCCTGATGGCCGATAAACAAAACTCCGAGAGGTGTTGATAAATGCCAACCACTAGGAGTTGTGAAATAAAAAAAAAAATCTGTCTACAAACCAGTGGTGTGCTAAAAATAGTTTTTATCTATGGCAACAGCAGGAAGATAAATTGGAAAATAAACACAGGCAGAATGATGACCTTGGTGAGTTAGGGGGACTTTTTTTTTTTTTTTAAGACTGCCATTACTTCATGATTTTGAAGAGAATTTTGTAACCAAACATTCGTGGACCTTTGAAGTGAAGAATCAGTTTTCTGGCCAGTTTGTGTGGTTGGGGCTGCTTTTGGTTAAGCTGTTGGTCTAGGATTATGTGTAGGCCTGTGATGGATTTTCTCCAGTGTTGTGCTTTGTTGATTGTAAGAGACTGTTGGCTGGTGTTGCTGGTTTCAGTGGCACATAAAACCCACACGCAGACCCAAACAAGACCAGGGCAAAGGATTGTGTGTGTGGTACCCAGGAGGCTCTTGTAGCAAGGGAGACAGGTGACTGGATTTTGCATTGATAGGGATTTCCTCTGTTTGAAACTGGCATGGACCTTGCCAGGCATTTTTTACACCTTGGTTAGTGCACAACTCACTAATGTCCCATTTTGGTCTAAATGGGCTCAAATAAGGAATTGCCCATAGCTGGTCTGTGAATGGGTCAGGCAGGTTATTTACCCCACTTCCTTTTCCCAGGAGACAGAAACATCTGTGAAAATAAGACAGGCTCTGAGGGAGGGGCACAGGATGCGTCTCTCAGCATCTGAGGAAAGAAGCTGGCTGAAGCATTTACTAGGGGAAGGGAGGGAGGTCCTTTATTACCAGAAAAACTGGCTGACTTCTTATGGGGGAATCTGCGTGAGCCAGCCCCTCTCTTGTAGGCCAAATTGGGAGGTTTTGGAACTAGTGTACTGAGAGCTTGAACTCTCCCCCCCTCCAAAATGCTACTAAAAGTGACAGGTATAGATTAAAAAAAGAAAATCCTAACTTCTGTGGTTTTTGTTTTTTCCTTCCATCTTGCTGTGTTCAGGGCAGTATGGACAAGCTTGGGGCTCTTAAGCAAACAGGGTCTGGAGATGGAATGGGATTTGGGCCCAGGGTCCCTGTCTGTAGGGAGAAGGCCTGCATAGGAGATCCCTTTTGAACTTTCTCCACCGAGCTTCTGGTCAGTTGGGAAGTGCTTTCAAGTCAGTAACCCTAAGTGGTTGTTGTCTAATTGAGCTCAAAGAGTTCTGGGTCCCAGATGACTAGAGAACACCTTGAATGCTTTAGCTTGTGATAACTTTCATCAGTGACCTGCATTATGGTGTTAACACAGGCCCTGTACTTTTCCAGCATTCAAAAAAGTTACATATTGGTGTCTGCCTCTTTCCCTATTCAGATGAGTGATATTTCTTGACTCGTTGCCAATCATACTGCTGATTCTTTCTTTTGGGTTTTGTTTTGGTAGTGGCAATTGAACTTTTGGTTTTCTGCTTCCCTAGGCAAGGGCTATATCACCTGAGCCTCTCCATCCCCCCAGTCCTTGTTTGTGGTTCATTTTTTTTTCAGATAGGGTATTGCACTTTTGCCCTGGCACAATCTCCCTATCTCTGCCTCCTGAATAGTTGGGATTGCAAGTGTACACTACCATGGCTTATCATACTGCTGACTCTTGTTCATTCTTTATGGTAGAAGAGAAGGATCTTTCTAAAGTGTGAAATCCAATCATCTGTCTCTTCTGCTTCAGGAGCCTCTTTGGTACTAGTGGGGAAAAGTTCAGATCCCTCAGTGTAAGTTCTGACCCCTCTCCTCTGCATCCCCAAAGCGTACGCTTGCAAGATACTCCAAATGACTTGCCATGTCCCCAAGCTTTTGATTCTGTCCTTCACCTCTCTTCATGCTTCTCCTCTGATGAGGGTTATCTCCCCTGGAGTCCTCCTTCTGGTGACCTATATGCCTCATTGAAGTGATTAAGGACTTGAGGAAGTGGTTTGGGGGAGGGGGCTTTCCCTCCAAATACCTGGCAGGATAAGTGCTTGAAAAGAAGCATGTCCCTGGGGGCCTAATGAAGCCACACTCACTAACCAGTTGGCAAATTTGAACTAGGAAGAGAAGCCTTGGCATAGATCCAGCCAAGTGCCTCTGGCCCACCTGGGCAGGGAACAGGTGACAGTGGATGGGAATGCTGGCCCAGGTGAGGACTTGGACAGTTCTGGGAAGGCCTCCAAATATTCAGGTTGCTTCATCCTGTTTCACAGTTGGAGTTTCATTCCTTTGGTTCAGTCAGGGTTTCTCAAGCTGGTTCCATATACAGCCACCAGGGAGCTTCAGATAGCTGTGGCCTTCCTCCAAATCAACTGAATGAAGACCACTGAAAACAGTTAATAGCATGTTTCTAGGAAACTTTGCAGGTGATTCTGAGTGCAGCCTAGGATAAAAATTCTTCTCCAACCATTGCTCCTTTCTCTTATGGGTCTCTTGGGAAATAGACACTCTGGGGACAATGTTTTTGAAAGTCCCGTGGTCTCTGTAGGATACAGGACAGGGTGGGAATGAGGGCAGGGCTGATGAGTCCCTAACAGTCCTCAGACACCCTGGGATCTTTGTGTGCAGTCACTCACTGGCATTTTCTCTGTGGATCTTGGAACTTCTGGCACAAGGCATGCCTGATACAGAGTGAGCCAGAGAGAAGAGGGAGGAGAGGCAGCCCTGACATGGGAAAGAGGGGCCCTGGTACACTAGACCACCTGGAAAAGGTCTAAGAAGGGTAGAAGGGAGACAAGGAGGCCAGCAAGTGCTACTGTGCCAAATCTGGTCTGGGCTGCTTTGTGTGCCTTTGGGCTAAGATTTTCTTTTTCTCTTTTTTAAACAGTGGCTGGCAAAATCTGCAGCGTTCCTATCTGGCCCTTTACAGAAATAGTTTGCCCCACCCTGATGTAGATAATCAAGCTACAAGTTCAGGGTCACAGCTGACCGGAGAGGCCTAATCTAAATCAGGCATGTTTCATTCCTGCCTACTGGCTCCTGGTGCTGATTGGGGAGAATGGGTAGCCACACCCACCGGGACCGGGCCTTCGGCTGCTAGTGTGTGCAGGGCAAGGACTCACAGTCTGAGTAAACTAGGCCAGAGAGAAATGTAAATGCATTCAGCTAATTTCTTTAGAGAACTCCAGGGAGCTGGGTCACCTCCTCCACCCCTTCTTACTTAACATGAATTCCCGATCCCAGGTGCCACAAGGTGAGGGTATGATGGTAGGTGTATCTTCTGCTCCGACCACAGGCCCCCAGCGGGGTCATGGGCTCTCCAGGTTCCCTGAATTGTAAACAAGGGCTTGGTTGTACCTCTTCTTGTGAAGGGGTATTAGCTGCCTCTCCCTTGCCGTCTCTCCCAGGAGGGTTGGATTAAAGAAAAGAATAGATGAATCTCCAGGGCTTTTCAGGAATAAGTCTCCTTTGTTTTAGTTCCACCAACTCCCCTTCCCCCACCGAAACAAAATAAAAATAAACCCTGACCAACATTCATTGAGAAAGCAGCCATTCTGTGTTGATACAGTGCTCACCACAGCCAGGGCTTTATCTCTCCCTGTGGTTTCCTTATCATTCTCGCTACAATGCAGAGACTGTAGGAGACATCATTGACTATCAGTTGAATTACTGACGTGAACTCACCACTTGAATGTTAGGCTCTTCATCCAAAGGTTTGGATGGTTTCTTCTTAATTTCTGACCAGGGTCTGTGCTTTTCCATTAGGTACTTGTAGATTGTGAGAGCATTGGCTCCTACCTGTTTGTCCATTTCCCTCTCCTCCATCAGCTCAGGTAGCTCAGGTCGTGGGCTACTTTCCATTCTCTGAACGCGCCAACAGTGGTGCCTTTAGCCAGCCTGGAACGCCTGGCCGGAGAGAGGTGTCATGCTGATGATGGAGTCTTCAGAGCTCACTGACCTGAAAGAACAAAGAGGCCTGTTCTATTCCCAGCTCAAGTATCACTCCCAGGAGCCTCCCTTCCCATAGACTCTCACCTCTAATTAAGACTAGGGTTCCCCTTCCTTTATTTCCATGACAATAAGAAACACTCACAGAATCGGTCTCATGCGCCAGAGGCTGGCGTGAGCCTTTACCTGTATTAACTAACTGAACCCTCCCAACAATCCTTAGGGTACGGTATTTTAACCACTAAGGTAAATGGAAGCACTGGGGGTTAAAGTCGTTTTCTAAAAGTTTTCACACCCAGATGTCAGAACCAGGTGTTTCTAGATGATGAGCTTCTAGAAACATGGCAGTTTCCTTGCCATCATGGTACCCTCCTAGCCTTTAAGAGGTATTTGTGTAAGTAGTGCATGTTTAGTAATGAAACATACTATGTCCAGCTCCCTGAACGGATCCATTGCACTGGACTGTTGATTACAGGGATGATGGTCCATCAGTGTTCAGGGTAAATAAGATGGAGGTCTCCACATAGTTCAGAACTGAGTCAGCTGCTTGAGGGAACCCCCAGTTATAAAGTGCCCTGCCTGCCTCTCAGGTACTTCCCTACCTGGAGAAGAAGTGTTGGGAGTTGTATATGTGAGTTTCAGGAGGTCAGGGTGAATAGCATCATAAAATGCTGAGATAAGTCATGCTGCCTTGATCTAACTCAGGGAATTTCCCAAGACGCAAGTGTATATGGAGATGGACTATGTCCTGTGAGCTAGAGAAGGGGTTCAGGGGTCACTTTCCTTAGTGTTTCTGTTAGGATTTCAGAACACTTTCTAGAGTCTAGCATGTTCTCTTTGCTACTCCCAAAGCTGTCCTGTAGATTTAGGAGAGTTTTTTTCTTTCTCTTTTTCCCTCCCACTCTCCCTCCCTCCCTCGCTTCCTTCCTTCCTTCCTTCTTTCCTTTCTTCCTTCCTTCTTTATTTCCTTCCTTCCTTCTTTGTTTTTTTTCTCTCTTTTCACCTCTCTCTGACAAACTGTTAATCTTTATTATGGCCTATTATACTCGTTTCTTTTTATTAAAAATGACTCAAAAACAGTCACAAGCATCAGAGAATTCTCAATTTTCAAATACAAATAGTGTCAACAGTTGGTTATGTTTTCTTAAGCAACTTAATAGCAGTGCCCTTCAAAGTGTCCATCTGAGTACCTCTACTAAGCAGAGAAAATGGTGAAGATGGGGTCTGGGGGTGTGGCCTCGGGCACCTGTGCAAAACTGCTAAATAGCTTTGAATACAAACATTTCACTTATTTATTTTTATGCCAAGCACAGAGGTTTGATTTAGAGCCTCATGCTCTTGCTTGAGTTTTTGGCTCGCAGCTGGCAGTCTGCCACTTGAGCTGTACTTCCGCTTCTGGCTTAATTTTGCTGGCTTACTGGAGATAAGAGTCTCCCAGACTTTTCTGCCTTGTCTGGCTTTGAACCATGATCTGCAGCATTCAGTCTCCTGAGTAGCTAGGATTGCAGCTCCAAAAGTTTTAATTTACAAGTTCACTTTATTTTATGCATTGTGTTTTCTTTTAGGCTTGGTGTATCCCCAAGGTACACATGGCTCCGTGTAGAGTTCGATGTGTAAGATGCACTTGCACACCACAGAAAGCGTGTTGAGGAATCTTAGTGTTCTAGGAGGGCAGGTGAAGGATGGGCTCAACCAGAGGGAGGGACCATCTCACTTTTGAGTGACTGACTCCTAAGGTCCCTTCCCTGGAAATTAGGGGTGTGGGGATTACTACCCTAGGATTATCCTCTAGCAACCAGTACACCTATCCACCCTCAGAATTCTTTTCATCTTCTCAAACTGACATGCCACACTGAGTAGACAGGATTCCCTTTCCCCATCTCCTTAACTACTGACAGCCATTACTGTATGCTCTGGTTCTATGAATTAATGGCTCCTCAGAGAAGTAGAATTGTGTATTATTTGTCCTTTGTGACTGGCTTAATCTACCGAGCATACTGTCTTCAAGGTATATACATGCTGTAACTCGTGTCTGAATCAACTTCTGCTTTAAGGCTGAATAATACTCCATTGTGTGTATATACATATATATGTGCACATATATACATATATATTCCATTGTGTGTGTATATATATATATATATATACATGCATATGTACACACACATATATACATATATAGGTATACACACAAGTTGTTTCTTCATCCATCTGATGCCAGATTATTTGGATATTGAGAATAATGAATATGAACATGGGTAAAGAGACTTCAAAGTTGTGATTATGTTATATCTATTATAGAAATTTAAATATATAATTAAGTACAATGCACTCTCCTTTCCCATTACCTGCAATTTATGATTTAGAGATAGTCATTGTATACCTTTTGGCTTCTATCCCTGTGGCTGCATTTTGACCTATACCTGCGAAATGAGATTGAACTATACTGTGATGAAATCAGAGTCATCAAAAATGTTTTAAAACTGTTGGATGCCAGTGGCTCATATCTATAACCCTAGCTATTTAGGAAGCTAAGAGAAGGATCCTGGTTGGAGGCAGGCCAAGCAGAAAAGTTCCTGAAACCTATCTCAAAAAATAGCTAGCAAAAAGCAGAGTTGGAAGTGTGGCTCAAATGGCGGAGGACCAGCCTAGCAAAGGTGAGGCTGAGTCTAAACCCCAGTACTATGAGAAAAAAAAAAGATGTTTGAAATATCTGAAGCTATTCAGTAATTTCTGTTTTGAGCAGCCAGCTGGCAGGTGCCTATTCCCGGTCAGGCAAAGACTCCTGTGGGAATGGTATAATGACCCCTTCTGCCATGTGGGACAAACGGACTGTGAGAAGCTCAGCCTCACCTGCTTCTTCCTGCTCCAAATGCTGGTCCTAACAGCTCTCTTCTTTCCACTTCTCCCAGGCAAATGTCTGCAGACTACGGCTGACGGTGCCTCCTGAGAGTCCGGTTTCTGGGAAAACTGAAAAGAAGATTGAGAGAAAAGAGCAGGTGAGCCACATCTGGATCCAAGCTCTTGATGAGTCTGGTCTTGCACTTTTTTAGCTCACTCTCCTTGCAGTCCCATCCCCTGGCTGCTCTTGGAGCTGCATGATGGCTGCTCTGCTAATGAAAGGCCTTAACTGACTGATCTACCTCCTTGCCCAGGACCCCAAGTGTTTTCCCCAGCTGGCTCTGTCAGGTTCATGCTCCTGCTCTTATTTCTAGGGGAACATGGTGGCGCTGTTGCCAATGATAGGTGCTGGGTCAAGGGAGGTGGGTTTTTGTTTTTCTTTTCTTTTCCTGCAACAGTCCAGGTGGTTGAGTCAAAGGGCCCTTTATGAGCAGCTTGGGGCTGGACCCTCTGGGTATCTGGGAGTAACTGGCTGGCAGCCCAGGCCAGGGAGAAGAAAGGTCCAGCAGGCCACTGCAGTATGTGGCAAAGGCACTTTCTGAGTTGGATGCAGGAGTTGTTCAGCAAATGTTTGGGTGCCAACTCCTTCTAAGTACCAGAAGGGCATTTTCTTAGCTGGATGTGGGGGAAATTCAGCAAACATTTGTGATCTAAGTGCTAGGCCCAGGAAGATAGACTCAATCTTGTCTTTGCTTATAAGAAATCAAATTTTTTCAAGTGAGACACACATAAATGAACCATCATGATGGGACAGTTCTAGTGTTCTGATCCAGTCATGGAAAATGGGCTCCGAGAACACAGAGACAGTCCTAACTGATTGTTGGAATGCAGGCTTAGAGAATGAATGGGTGGTCCTGATTATCTCCAATCACAAGCAATATTGGGGCATCTGCTGAATTCCAGGCATGTTTATTCTAGGCATTAGGAGTATACTAGTGAATAAAGAGTGAAAAAACTCACCTGTCATCTACAGAACTTATCTCCTATTGGAATGAGAACAAAAATGAAATAATTCTGTACAATTCGTAGTGTTTAGGTGGTAACTACTGATGGAGACCAAGTAAGATAATAGGATAGGAGTGACAGGAATTAGGAAGTACTTTGTATTTGCATATGTTTTAGGTAAATATAAGACAAAATACAAGTCCCGGCTTTGGAGTCAACCAATAATGCAGCGTGGTGAACTATAAAAATGGTGGCTTCAAGGTAGTCACAGAGAAAGGACAAGGTGAGCCAGAGTTACCTGGAACTGGGTAGCCAGGTAACACTCAAAGGCCAATGCAGATCATAGATGAGGCCTGGGGCTGCTGGTCTGAAAGGGCTCAGGAAAACTTGAGGTCTCAAAGAATAATCACAGTACAGGTAGAACAGTCGCCATTTGAAAATCTAAATTCAAAGACTTTTTGAGCACTGGCATGATGCTCAAAGCACTTTGGATTCTGGAGCATTTCTGATTTAAGGATGAGGGATGTTGAACAGGTAAACCCTAGGTAAATATTTCAAATCCCACATCTGAAACACTTCTGGTTCTAAGCATTTTGGACATAGACTTCACATAAAATGGAATATTGAAATGAGATAATTAGAACAGACATGCTGAGATTATACAATTTTAAAATATGAACTGTATGTTGATATTTTGAGTACCTGCTGATGTTCACATATTTAGTAATGATACTCTGGTTATACAGTTGAATAATTTGTTCAGCCTCTCTATGGCTTCGCTCAGTCACCAGAGTCAATATTTGGGAGTAAAGCTCACAATCACAGAATGTGAGAATGACTAGCTATGGCCGTTGGCCTCTTGTGATGACCAAGATTGAGTAGGGCCCTCTGTTACTGGCTGTCCGCCCTCTGCTCTCTTGTGCTTCACTAACATTTTTCTCCATGTAGCGATGGCACACGAGCTGGCACATGAACTTCAGGGAAAGGAAGCCCCGGCTAGAGTGTGTGGCCGGACCATGGCCTTGGTGGCTTTGCCCGGGTGTATGGCAGAGGGACAGGGAATTTGGACTCTGGGAATTAGGCCCACACTGCATGCCTAGGGGGATGTTGGTAAAGGGTTTCTGAGTGCTGGAATGGGGTTAGAAAACCTGGAGGGTTGGCCACCATTGTAGAATAAAGTACACCTAAGGAAAAAAGCTTGGGGTGTTTACCTTGGTCAAGTGGAGCTGTTAACCAGGCTGTATACCATTTTGCTTGTCTTGGAGAGGTCCTTTTCAATCTGGTTAAAGCAAATAGAATCTCCTCCTCTTCTTCCTTCTTACCCCGTTCCTCCTTTGCTTCTGCTTCTTTCTCCTCCTCTTCCTTATTTCTTTTGAACCAACAGGTTATAACTGCACCCTCATGTATAAACTAGGCTACAATGGCCCTGCTGGAGGCCGGTGGCCTGTCAATCTCTCTTCCCAAAGACATCTACGGCAGGTGTTTTTGAGAACTCCAAAGCTTGGGGCAAAAGCCACACAGGTAGCATATGCTCCATGATGCCTCCTGTGTGGGGCATCAGGTGTGAAGTCTAGGTGGCACATTGTCTGTAGCACACTGGTGACTCACGGCAGAAGAAGTGGGGTAGAGAGGAGGAGGGTGGGGCTGGCTGTTTCTCTTAAGACTGAAGTCCTTGGGTGGTAGCAGCTCTTGAAGTATCTCATGGTAACTATGAGGCTGGTTCTGTGTGATTTCATCATCACGTCCTGGCCAGATTCCCGAGTTTGAGTCATGGGGAGCTAGAGTCAACACACTAGCCACGGTTTCATGGAGGGGTCAAGTCTTCTGATGTGGTTCCAATAGGTGTGCCCCTCCCTGTGACCCACAAAATTGTAAAGTGCCAAACACTCTGGATGACCCTTCCTGGTCAGATGACTTTGGGGCCTTTGAAGGAAGATCCATGATGGTGTACAATGCCAGGGGAATGGGGCAGTTAGGATTTGTTAGGAGACCTTACTGACACCCAAGGAAGCGAAACTTCTCAGGATTTCTGGTTCCTGTAAGAGCTACAGCTGGTTGAGGGCAGGTTGGGCCGTCACAGAAGCTGCTCAGTGTATATGGAGCAACTGGGATGCCCTGGGATGGCTGACAATGCATAGATCACCCAGCCAGCAGGGCCGTTCTTCTGTCTTTGTACTCAAGTCATTGGAGAGAATCCCTCAGAACACCTGGACATATGCCCAGGTGCAGGAAGGTGTGTTTGGAGACAATTCCAACAGGATCACAGGGATACATATGTAGAAGATATTCTAACATTCTTCTGTCTTTTCTTATTCTTGATAAGTAGGGAATAGGTTTCTAAAAGTGTTAAGCATTAAAACTAAAATTGGTAGTAGGCAATTTTGAAATGAACTACTTATCATGTTCGTGGAACTTTATCAATGTCTATTCATATTCTTATTCAAATCCAAATACTCTTTCGTGCACTCACACTCACATATACATATATACACACACACATGCACATAGTACTAAGAGGTTGAGCCAACACAGCCACCACAGGTATATTGTATTGAATACAGATCTCTCACTGCAAAGTTGAAATTTAGGGAGTCTGATTTAAGCTGATACACACACACACAAACACACACACACACACACACACACACACACACACACACACACGGAGTTTGACCATAACACCTTTTGCTTGTTTGACTGCAGCCATGCCACACACACACACACACACACGGAGTTTGACCATAACACCTTTTGCTTGTTTGACTGCAGCCATGCCTCCAGCCCTGCCCAAGAAGCCAGGCTTCGGGGCTGGGAAGGTGGCTCAGTGGTAGAGCACTTGCCTTGCATGCATAAGGCCCTGGGTTCGATTCCTCAGCACCACATAAGCAAAAAGAAAAAAAAGCCGCAAGTGGCGCTGTGGCTCAAGTGGTAGAGCTCTTGCCTTGAGCTAAAGAGCTGAGGGACAGCACCCAGGCCCAGAGTTCAAGCCCCATGACTGACAAAAAAAAAAAAAAAAAGCCAGGCTTCTTCTGCTTGGGCTGGCTTTGAACCACAGTTCTCCAGGTCTCAGCCTTCCGAATATTTAGGCTTCTAGGTGTGAGCCACCTGCATCAGACTAGCAGAATACATACATACATACATACATATATATATATATATATATATATATATACACACACACACACACATATATATAGACACACACATATATATACATATACATATATATATATACATATATATATACACATACATATATATGGAGCTTAATGGGAGATAAGAGTTTCATGGACATTCTTGCCCAGACTGGCTTCCAACCCAATCCTCAGATCTCAGCCTCCTGAGTAGCTAAGGATTACAGGCATGAGCCACTAGTGCTCAGCTACACAATATTTTTAAATAGGTATGAACAGCTGGCACTGTAAATGTCCTTCAGTGACCTGTTGTTTGTTTCGAGATCTTTGGGAACCCAAGCGGCGAGAAACAGCTGTGAGTGTGGCTATAGAGTGGGGAACTTTCACAGCCAGGCAGTGTCTGAAAGGAGGAAGTCCTCGCCATCAGGTTTTATAGGCCTTTTCCTTGTGAAGCCTGGATGAATAAGCCTGCCAGTTCTCATCCTTGGCGTGACTATTTATACAACAGGCGGGTTGTTGCCAGGTGAGAGGTTGTGTGGCTGTGATTCAGAGCTGAGGCTGGGGTTGGCCTGCCCTCTGTGACAGTGTGCAGGGAGTCTGTGGGCCTGTCCAGGATGCCAACCTTGGAGGATGGGAGGAGGCCTAGACTTCCGGTCCTGGTCATCACACCAGTCACTAGAGTGCTCAGGCCAGTCAAGGCTCCTCTTGGGGGAAGGCGGGAGGGTGCCTCAGTTTCCTTTTTAAACTAACAGAAATTTTAATGTTTTCCAGTTTTCCAGTTGTGGAACTCTTCTTTAAGACTGATATAACCTGCCAGTGCAGTGGCTCAGATAAGGGCTATATTGGCTGTATTCAGCAGCCCTCCCCCATCACTCTCAAATCCCACACTCCTGCAGACTCTGAGAAAATACTGAGAATATTGTTCACAAGTCCCTTTCTATTGTCAGTCCAGTTCTGAAACTATGTTTCTTTCCTCATGAGTTTATTTCCTCATGCGTATTTGACTGTAACAAGAACAG